AAATGATGAGCATTTTTCTTTGTTGAGGTTTTCATCATTATTCAGGGTGGTCTTTTGCTTTTCAATTTTTTAAGTAATAAGATTAACTGTACATTTTACAGAGAACTGCGTTACAAATATGTTTTCAATTATTTTTGTACTATTTAAGTGTTATGTCAGTTCTTTTCACGTCATACAGAAATTGTCTCAAAATACTCTTTAGGGGAATACATCACTTTATAGTCTGAATGGATGACATCCTGGTGTTCTAAAAAAATTTATTTTGCATAATCCTGTAGTCAGATCATTTTATGCATATGCAGCTTGGGTTAAATTTCAAGTACTGTGTTCAGCACTGGTATATTTACTGCATACATTTGTTTTGTTTTGATTTCTGTCATGTAGAACACTGTGTTGGCCATCATAATGTAATCTGTGTTGTGTTCTTCTTTTTTCATGTTACAGCCTTTAAAAAAACATTTAATGTAAATTCAAAACAAAAAGAAAAAAACCAAATCCTTAACTTATATTTTGACCTCAACATGTAGTAAGTACATACATTTGGAAATTTTTTATCATTATCCATATTTTGCCATGTATGAAATCTTGATGTAATGCCATTATCATTATATTAAAAAACAGTAATGTGTCAAAATAAATGAATAAATAAATTGTGTAATTTTTGCCTGACCAAAAAAAAAAAAAAAAAAGAACCCTAGTTATCTTGGAGCAGTAGGGCCCATGAAGACCTTACATTAAATAAGTTATCTTTTAAAGCCTTATTATTAAATAGTCATATTTTGAGGTACTGGTGGTTGCAATATTAAAAATAAAAAGAAATTTAGTACCAGGGATCAAACTCAGGACCTCACACTTGCCAGGAATGTGCTCTACTGCTGAGCTACATCCCTGGCCCTGTTTCCCTCCTGTAGGAATTCTTGTGGTTATATTGGGTCCATCTGGATAATCCAAGATAATCCCTCTATCTCAAGGGAGTTAAAAAAAAAACTTAGAAAGGCTTTAGAGGTGCACCAGTCTCTTCAGTTTGTGGTCCAGACTGCTGACTTTCTGAGATGACAGCTGGAGAACCCAGGCTGGCTTCCTACTTAGGGCCATATTCTTCTAAGAAAGTTACTGCAGGGCAGAGTTATGTGTGCTACTCCTCCTACTCCAGCCACCCTCAGTTCTCACTTTCTCATTCCAACCAGGAATAACTGGGCCAGAATATATACTCTTGGGTTCAGGCACAGGAATTTATTTATTTACTTACATTTATTTGTTTGTTTGTTTTGAGTCAGGGTCTCCATGTGTAGTCAGGACTCCAGGATGGGTTGAACTCAGTGTATAGCCCAGCCTCACCTCTGATTCCTGCTTGGGACTCCTATGTGCTGGGATTTCAGGTATGCACCACCACATCTGGTCAAGGAGCACAAATTTCAAGCAAACTCAATGTCAGTACCATATCACTTGGATGATGCTTCTTTTTTATTACTGCATATTAGTTTTACAGTATAATGGGTTTCAACATTTTCATACATGTATATAATGTTTTCATTCTGTTGACCCCTGTAATAATCTTTACTTACCTTTTCCTGATCCCCTTCATCTTCTCTAATAGAGCCTTGTACTTTCAGGTCATCTTTTTTTGGGTGGTGCTTCTTTAAACAAATCAGCTCTACTGTGCTAGACTTAAGTCCTCAAGAGGCACTGAGAAAATAGGTCCTCTAATGACAGCAACAACACCAAGTCTTACTTGTTTTAAAGGTTGAGTTCAATGTAAGAGATAAAAATCCCTAGTCAAACCTAAAAAAGAAGCAAATTAAGTTGAGCCAGTGTTCATAATAGTAGCTCACTGATTCTCTTCCCTGAGATAATAAACTCCCGGCTCATCAATATTGAGGAAGAGGACAAGTGGAGGAGCTAACAAGAATTATCCATCATTAAGAATAAAGTAATAAAGTTATTCTTGCTTGCTTCTAGAGGTGCCTTCTTGATGTGAGAATATGACTCAAGAATTGTCTGCCGTGTTGAAAATGAAGTCTAGAACACTTCCTCCCTCCTTCCCACCTCTTCCTGGTTGACCTTGACTAGCTGCCTCACTAGACTCCAATGTGTTTCAGAGGAACAGCCATGATCTGCTTTTCTAAGTGTATGGTGGGCCAGGAGACACCTCCACTGAAGTCATCTTTTCCTTTATCACTTTCAGGCTAGGGACATTGATGACTTGGGCACTGAGAAAACCCCAAGTAGCACCAGGTCTGAGGAAATCTCCCTTAGCAGAGACTGTAGACAGTGGGAGAATGGGGTACCCAGCCCTAAGAGCCTCTCTGGGATACTGTCCTAACCAATGGTAAAGCTGAGAAGTCAGCCAATAGACATGTAGCCTTCTGCTTTGAAATTTGGAGGATCATTTAAATAACTGTTCTTTGCCATAGCTGAGAAACATAGGAAAAAGAGCTCTTTAAAATGTAACCCAAGATTTAGCTCAGTGGTGCCGCCGCCTGCCTCAAAACCACAAGGTCCAGAGTTCAATCCCCAGTACCAAAAAAAATGTAATCCTCAAAGTCTTGCTTTGGATCTCTTCTGTTCTTAAATGAAACCCTCTCCTTGGGCAATAACACTTTTTGAGGTGGTTGTGAGGATTAAATGAGATAAGCTACTAAAAGTACTTTGTACAATGTCAGATACATAGTCATCACTTAAAGCACATTGGCAAACCTTTTTTTTTGGATACTGGAGATAGAACTTGGGACCTTGCACTTGTGAGGCAAGCAGCGGAACCACTGAGCTAAATCCCTGGCCCTGGCAAACCTTATTAACTATCCTATGATTTCACTTCATGTTGATGGCATATCTCTATTCAGACCTCTTCTTGGAGTGCTGGATCTGAATATCTAACTCCCTACTCAAGGATATTTCCGTATTAGATGTAATTACATTTTTAAAACTCTGTGTTCATAACAGAATTTCTTTGTCGTCCTTTGAATACTTATAATGCATGCTCCTAGTCTAGCTGAACAGTGCCCCCACTCCTCTGGTGCTCAGGTCAATAACCTGGCAATTGTCACCAGGTGCTTCTAAATATCTTTCAAATCCACTGTCCCTTTTTTTCCTGCTTCAGCAATGATACTGAGTTTTACCTAGTATTGTGAATCCAGACCAGGGAGTGCTGAGCTACATCTCTAGCCATTTTCTTTATTTTTAGACAGGGTTTCAAGTTACTTGGTGTGGCCTCGAACTCGGTATCCTCCTGCAGGTGTGCAAGCCCTGCTTGCCTGCATCCTTTGCCATTTGTCCCACTACGAGTGTACCATCCAGTCTGTTCTCAGAGCAGCAAATGCATTATGATATTTGATACATAACTTCTCTACTTTAAATCTCCCTTTCACTGCACCATAGACCAGGAAAACCCAAACGCTGAGCACATCCTGTCCATAATGATCCAGTCTCCTTTGTCACCACTCTCTCTACTCATAAGCTAAGTTGTATCTCTGCTGAACTACATCAAACTCAGGTTCTTTGAGCTTCATGTCTGTGCTCGTGAATCCCTTAGGGCTGGGTGGTACCTTCCCCCTTTTTCAGCAGTCTGAATTCCACTTGGCCTTCAGCAGTTCACCCAGGTGTCTCCTTTTCCTGGAAACTTTCACTAAGCCCCAGTGGCGTATCATTTTTTTCTCTTATCCACTGTGAGTTCCTTGAGGGCAGTGAGTCCTTTGCTCTTTGTGATCACCATGCTTTAATGTCTGGCACACAGTAGGTGTCCGTCATACATTTGCTGAATATGCTAATAACCCAGGATTAGAATACATGGCATTGGTTCTATTAACTTTTTAAAATTAATTTTATTGGTATATTTTAGGTATACAATATAATGACATTCATCATTGAAAATTTGTACCTTTACATAATATATCTTGGTGGCTTTATTAACTTTTATCATCAAAATTTGAACAAAGTTTTCCTTTTTGAGCTTAGTTTTCTCAACAGTAAAATGATTTAAAATGCCCTCTATACTGGGCATGGTGGCAAACACCTATAACCCAGCACTCAGGAGGCTGAGCCAGGAAGATCACAGTGAGTTCAAGCCCTGCCTGAACTACATAGCAAGACCCTGTCTCAAAAAAAAAAAATGCCACCTAATATGAGGAATAAATTAAAAGAGAATGCAAAAGCCTTTTGTAAACTGAATAGCAACATAACAAGATCATTATCAGAACAGATATAAATCCATACTTTGCATGCATACAAGAACATGTTCATACCTGCGTGTAGTGTGTATATATGATTTGTGCACCTATATTTGTGTTTGTGTTTCTGTATGGTTATATGAAATGGAAAGACAGTCTCCAAACTTCTTTCTCTAGATTCCAGCCTCTAAAAGGCATGCTGAAATAGATCGATAATTGCTTCCTGATAACTAGTGCAGGTTCTACACAGAGTAATTTGTACGCTCCTGTTAAGTCATTCTGTGAATCCATTACTCCCATACACATAAACTTACAGCAAAACTATAAGGCAATGTATGGGTAATGATAGCCCATCCCCCTTCCCTCCATGACTAGGGTAGCTGGCTAAGAAAATAGTAACTTTGAAGGCGCTTTCCCCCTAGTTTTTCATTTGACTTCCTTATCGGTCCCTTGGAGTAGTTACTGAAGGCATCATTGTCCCCGTTTCGTATGTGAACAAACCGAGGCACAGGGAATTAATTCATTTAACCTAGCTACCCCCAAGTCTCCACAGAGTAGAGATCAGAATTCCAGCATGTCTTTTCTCCTATCTTTCCTTTACCTGCAGATCGGCCGGCACGAGAAGTTTGTACAAAATAACCAGAGCTGCTCAGCACGTAAACGAATCAGTGCTTCTATATAACGCTTTAAGCGCCACAGTTACATCTGCACTTTGGACTTGCCTTAAAAGCGAAACTCGCTATTTTAACTTCAGTAGTGAGGGCAGTTAGTTCCCCGCGTGTGAGTCCCACGGGGCAAAGGCCTCTCTTTCCGCAGCGCGAAGCTGCCCGCTGCCAGCTGCCTGGCCGCCCAGGCTTTGCAGCTGAATGCGCACTGGAGCTTTCTTCCTGCGGCCCGCTGGTGCCCGCGGTGGAAACGAGGGCTCCGGCCTCTCTTCCACCCCGTCTACCTTCTGCCTTTTGTTCTTCTTTGAAAAGCCAGGTGGCGCCAACTCTCAACCCCTGCTAGAGCTGGAGGATTTCGTGGCTTGCTCAGAGCAAAGCAAAGAGGCGGTGGGAAGAGCACACCTCGGGATTGGCGCTTTCTCTCAGTGCCCTCCGCCCCGTGGAAAGCTTTGCTTTCTTCTGCACGCCTCGCAGGATGACGGCAACCCTAAAGAAAGTGAAGTGTCCTGTGTGCCACATGGAGCTTGAGGAAAGGAAATGATTAAAGCTGTGAGGTTTCCTGGCTCTTCGCGGTGTTTACGGTGGGTTTTGATTTGGAATGAGAGCGAGGAGAGGTTAAGGCCGGTTCCAATCTACCAGCATCCTGAATGAACCTGTCTGGGTTGCAGATGACAAGTGGGGCGGGCGGGCACGCGCGCTTCGGTGTGCTCATTCCTGCGCACGCAGGACCCTGTGCCCGAGTCGTGTGTGGTAGTCTCTTTCTAAGCGACAGAGTGTATGCGTGTTTATAAAGCAGCAGAAATCCTCCGAGCTGCAAAGGAGGGCTGTGAGGCGCTTCATATGACAGTTAAGGGTCTGAATCTATTCTAGACAACACACGTTTCCGTTTTCAACCCCTGTTTTTCTTAACCTTAACCTTTTGAAATGTTTCCAATCTTCCAACTATTGTAATTTTAACAGGGAGAGAGAAGAAACCCTATCGTTGTACAATTGTATTAACTTGATTTAAGCCAAACTTTACCAAATGAAAATGTTGAAACTTGGAAATTTGGAGAATAACTACTAATCTGGTCATGAAAATTTGAGCATCAGGGCTGGAGATTTAGCTCGAGAGCACCGCGCCTGCCTTGCGAGTGCAAGGTCCTGAGTTCGATCCCTAGTTTAAAAAAAAAAAGAAAGAAAGAAAGAAAAAGAAAATTTGGCCATCACATGTGCTGCTGTTGCAAATCATCACCAAATCTGAAGTTAAGATGAATTCAATAAAAGTTACTTTTAAAATTCATCAGAATACCAAGAGAAGAGAGCTGCTACTATGGCTTATAGTAATTTTAAAATTTTAATTGAAATGACAGTAACACATACTCAAACACATAGAGCACTCAGCAACATTAGTAATGAAAGCAATGTGCTATTAATGCTGCTTTTTTTAATGCTGCTTTTTAATAGTACTGGTGGCATGTGCAAGTGAGAACAGTGGTTTTCAAACTGCAGGTTGTCAACCATTAGTAACTCAGTGAAATCAACAATGTGAGATTTGTCTAGCATTTAAAAAAATGAAATAGAATAGAAACTATCAGAAGACTTAAAAAGTATTTCACAAATCTTTTTCCCCCATTATATGTGGGTACTGGGTTAGAAAGTAAAATGTACTTCTTATCGATGACGTTAGGAAGATGTTCGAAAGCTGTGGTTTTAGAAAACTCCCTGTTTCCCATCAGTTTTATGCTCTTGTGGTCTGGGGTTCTGGGCTAAGGCCCTTGCTGCCCCCTGCTGCTCTACTCTGAGCTACAATGGGTGTGAACCTCTGGCAGTCCTGACCCTGTGCGTGACCCTCCGTGAAAATGAGATTGGCGGGTGGGCACCCAGGTTTCAAAGTCTTAACACAGCTTTGCTGATCAAGAAAGTAACTTTGGGGAGCATGTAAGGCTCCCAGCCCCAGAAAGAAGCCTGGTAAGAAAGTGGCACGGAGAGGACTAGTAGCTAGGAGAGGACTGGTAGCTATAATGGGAAGATTATTAGACTAAGTAAGAACTGAGGAGCAGATACTGAAGCAGAAGGTGCTTATTTAAGCTAGGAATGGAAGAGTGGGCCAGGGTGGCTGGAGACAGACATTTTTGTAAAGAGGACCCGTCGTCTTAACCGGGGTAAGTAGAATAGTTTTGAACAATGGGGAGCAATTTAGGGACTTAAGGAGTGATATAGGGAGTAAGGAATGCTTCTGTTTCTCCTCCTACCTCTCTCTGCCCCAGTGTCTAAGAAAAGCAGATGATATTTTTACTGTTCAAGTTTTAGGACACCAGCTAAACCATGTTTACTAAAGGACAGGTTATTCTCCTATTTCCTGCTAAGTAGACCTCCTGGAGCCTGTCTGCAGGAATATCACCACCTCTTATTTATTTTTCCATCCTGGGTGGAAAGATTGGATAGCTGAGTCAAGACCCAGCTTGGGACTGGCCTTCCTTGTTACTCTTCCCATAAAAACATACTGGCCAGAGTTTTAGGTTTCTGATCAGGCAAAAGGAAAGGAGATTCAGATATAGATTTTAGAGGAGATGGACCGAACTATGTGTTCCATTTAGCTCTACTAGAGCTCTACACTGAGATATAATACTGGATTTGCCCCAAAAGTAATTAAGCAGGTATTATTTTCCATATTTTATTGTACCAGAAATGTATTATTCCTTATAGCATGTGTTCAAAAACTTTAGAAGGCATCAGAATCACCTGGAGAACTTGTCTAAACACGGATTGCTGGGCTGCCTCCCTAATATCTGATTCAACAGGTCTGAGTAGGGCTTGAGAATCTGTGTTTCTAATAAGTGCCCAAGTGGCACTGATACTGGTTCAGGGATCAGACTTTTGACTATAATTGCTCTGTGACCTCTTAAGAAGTAAGTGGAATGGGAAGGTAACTGCCCAGGACAAGGTGAAAGTGCTCCTAAATTCTTTAACTGTGCCCTCCCTCCCCAACCAATCCCTTAGCTCACAGCTGCCTGCCAGCAGGTAAGAGTCTCTGAAAACTAGTGGAAGAGATTTCCAGAGGGATGTAGTTATAGTAGAACTATGTTGCTCTGTGTATCTAAAAGAACAGAAATAGAAATACTAAAATACTATAAACATGTTCATTTTTGGCTTATTTTTTCTTCTTGCATATTTTAAAGCCTAAGGGGAAGCATTTAAGTGACAGATCAAAGCACTGAAATAAAAGTTGAAGCAATGGTAAATCTGTTATTATTAATTAGAGGTAACATTTAGCACTTTGCTGCAATAGGGCAGCATATTAAATAGGATATTGCCTATTAAATGGGATCTGGTGGCCTGAACATTAATGTAATTGACTTTCTGCCAAGACATCCCTGGCTCCCAGGGCCAGGCTCCTGGTGGCCTGTGGCTTTGCAGCCTGGAGCTCTGCTGTGACTGGCCTCAGAGAAAAATGAGGCTTTTTGAAATCCAGTGTTCTTCATGAACCAATTCCTGAACCTGAAATGTGCAAGCAAATAACCTAACAGTAAGAGGAAAAATTGGTCTGTTGAAAAGTTGGTGACCTTTTCAGGGTTACTTTTAAAAGAATAGATTTGTTTTCTTTGACACTTTGGGAATGATTTAATAAAATATAACAACCTCAAAGAAATTATCCAGTTTGTTTCATGTCTTGTAGCCCGGAATATCTAAACTAAATTCTTGCAATGCACATCTTTATTGCTGAAATTTTGTTGCAAAATTTGGCATAGACTGTTTTGAAGTGTCAGACTTCTAGGCGCTATTGCAGAACTGGCCAGATCCAAGACATTTTTACGGATTTAATGACATTTTTCCTTATTGTCCCCATAATCACCTGCTTTATGAACTGTGGCTAGCACTGATGTTGCAACTGGCAATTTTCTTAGAACCCAAATTTATTTATATTTTTCTCTCTTTGATTTCCATCATTTCTGGGAATTGTTAGTAGATAAAATAAAAAGAATACATTATAAACAATTTAAAACACCGAAAACAAAATTCCTTGGACCTTTTACAGATACCACATATGCAAATAAATGTGGCTTTGCATTCCAGTGACATTGAGCAGGGATTACATTTTCCTCATTAACCTCTTTCTTAACCAACCAGCACTGTTTTTCGAGCATGTTTTATCTAAATCACGTTTGACATTTTGAATTAATTCAGACTGACTCAAGTCAAATGAAGAAGTAGAATGTCTTCTTTGACCCTAACATTTGTGCAGTCCCAGTTGTCTTATACCAAAGTAAGAACACGTACTCTTTTTGGATGAAATCAGATTGATTGGTTTTCTTGTTTGCATAGCCAAAATCCAAACCAGGAATAACCATTCAAAGTGTCAGTATGTTTTTTCCTGCAGTCCTGAGGAAAGGAGTAGAAAGAACAATCCATGATGCATACCCCAGGTGGGAATATGATCACCACCCTCATAGCAAGCCATTTACAAAATGGATATTTATTTCTAAGTGAAGAAACAATCTATGTTCGATAAATCAGTAGCAATAATTCCTCTGCTAATATGTGGGGTTTAATTTGAAGCAATAGGAATCTTCTCGTTTCTACAGGAAGTCAACATGTTTGTTTAGAAATACTACAATTTTAGTGGGTGTAGCTCAATGGTGGAAGGCATTCTTTGCATGCATAAGGGCCTGGGTTCAGCACCCCAACCCAATAAATAAATAAACAAGTAAAAGAAAAAAGAAAAGAAAGACTACAAATTTGGTAGGAGGAGAAATGTAACCTGATTATTTTTTTAAAATTTCATAACCACTTACACATGAACCTATGATTTTTGCCCTAAAAGCAAAAGTATATGTTATTTTCAATGTTGATATTTGATGGTAGATGATAAAATATTTGCATGTAGTTAGGTATGTCCATGTATGTAAAATGAACAAAGCATTAAAATATCACTTGGTCTGAGTTAAACCCACCAATTTTAAGAAAGCCTGTATCAGCTGTCTTCACCTGCTGTTAGCTCTATCTTGTTTTATCAAACATTCTTTTTCTTTCCACCATCTTTTCATACATTGTTTTCAAACTCTGTAATCCTAGCTCAAGATGGCATGACTTGAAGAGAGGACCAATGCCAGTTTCCTGGGTGTACACAGTTTCAAAACACACCCTTTAATGTTATTTGACACCATTTTTCTACATGTGCTTTCTACTGAGAGTTTGTCAGATGAAACCATATTGCAAAACATTTGCAAAGCTAAATTATTGACAGAATTCTTGTGATTCCAAGAGTCTGCTTGATTGAAAGCAGTCGCAGTGTTTCAGTGTGAGAATGTTGCTTATCCTCTCTGTTGGTGTCTTTGGAGATTCCTATAGACTGTACCTCTGGACTTTTTCTGTCCCTGGATAGCAGTTTCTCCACAGCTAACTCAGAGCAGATTAGAGCTAGAGTTTTAGAACATTCTACTTCTAGCCTTTTATTTCCTGAGTAAGTATTTAGGAAAATCCCATCCTCATGTTCTTCCATAGTTATCTCTAATTTATACAAAGCTGATTTCCTCTTGTTTGCTCATAATCCCCAACGACACTTACAAAACTGCATAATCATCCTTGGCCATTCCTGCCAAGATACAGCTAGGCCCTCTTCAAGAACCTTTCAATATGTGCTCATTCAAGTCATGTGACTTCAGATTAAATTTACAATTTGCTCCTAAATATCCCAATTTAGTTGACACTTAGTCTGCTTATGGGAATGACACCAAAAGTAGCTCTATCACTAGTCAGGCCAGAAGGCATTTCTATTGAGAAAGAAAAATGATTTTTTATGGAAAATTGAATTTGCATACTGTACTTGGTGACTTCCCTAGCCTGCTTTGTGTTGCTGTAATAGAATACCGTAACCTGAGTAATTTATGTTGAAGAGAAGTTTATTTGGCCAGAGGAGGTTTGGAAGCTCCAAGAGCATGGTACTGGCATCTGACCAGGGCCCTCGTGCTGTCATTGATGACAGAAGGCAGAAAAGAAAGATAGGGTCCAAACCCACTTTTATAATGAGCCCAATGTCTTGATAACTAACCCACTCCCCAGATAATGACATTAATCCATTTCTGAGGGCAGAGACAACCTGACCAAATCAGTTTATTGGGCCCACCTCCCAACACTATTATCATGGGAACTAGGTTTCCAACACATATATGTTTGGGGACACATTTAAACCATAACAGTGATAATAATTAACAACTAGAATTTAAAACATTTTAAAATCCCAAATGTGTGGAAAAAGCTTTGTGCTATTATCTGTTTTATTTTGTAAGAGAGAGTCTTCTTTTCTCTATGACTTGTATTCTAAGTAACATTTTGACCATTCTTTTAAGATTATGACACACAGTGTATTAACTCTTGTTATTCTCTAATTATTTTGTTATGAAATTTTATTTTTCATAGAAGTAAGAAGAGTGCCTTTTATGTTTTCTTTCTTAATAACTACTTGTATTACATTAACATAGAAGACAAAAAAATCAAAGGTATTTGATCTCATTTGCTTTTTTACTAAAACAGAACTAGCAATGTGAAAACTCACCAAAGAAGAAAACATTATTTTGTTTCATTGTATTATTTTAAATTTGCTTCCTTTGTCAAATCACTGTCTTAACTAATGAGAAAAGCCATCAAGAGCAACATGGCTTATCTGTATATGGAATTTCAGGAAAGCTAATGTCCCAGAGCATGTTTTCTGAACTTTTTCAAGGACTTTTCTGTCTAGATTCATCTTGTGTATTGAGCGGGGGAGGGGGGGGTACGGGGAATCCGACTCAGGACCTTGCACTTTCCAGGCAGGTGTGGCATTACTGAGCTGAATCCCCAGCCCTAGATTCATCTTGTTTAAAGATGTTAGAGCTGTGTGGAGATTAATATCAACAATCAGAAAGTAATATCATGGTTCTGGTTGTCGTTATCTTGTTTAGATGTGCTAGAACTAGATTGCCTGTGTTAAAACTTAATGGATGAGAGAAGAAAAACATTCAGAAATCTTAATGATGGGGCTTCAACTATCCAGGCATCTGCCAGACATCTCATTTCCTAAATTCAGAACATCTGATAAATCCATGATTTCCTCAATTAATGTTCTCAGGTCTGACTGCACGTTACGATAGCTCCAGAATTTAAAACAAAATTTGATAGGCAGACTTCATCTTGTACTAATTAAAGCAGAATCTCTCAAGGTTCACCAAATACTGTTTTCTGTCTTCTGTTTTTTGGGTTGTTGTTTTTTTTTTTAAGTGCCCCCAAGTGACTCAAATGTGCAGCCAAGTTGAGAATCGCTAACCCATGTGATAATTTCATCTTTCAGAAAGGAGAGAAAGTGATGAGGAAGATTAACACCCTGCTTCTAATTATGGCCAAGTAGGAGGACTTGAATGGAAAATGAGAAGACAGAAACCCTGGAAAAGGGCCACCCCGCCATCAGAAAATTCCAGAGGGATGTGGTCACTGCCAGCACACACTGTTAGTCTGAGTTTAAAAATATTTCAGGAAATTATAAAAGCTTGGTTTCGATACCCTGCTCTGAGATTCCAAAAAGAAGCAGGGGATATTCCTCAAAATAAATTTCTGAAACTACTATTGCAAATGGTCTTTAAGTGGGGGCAGGGATGTGGAAGGAGGAGAAGAAAAAGAAAAGAAAAAGTAAGGAGGTAACCAAAGAGGTACAGTGTCTTCAGATGGGAAACTATCTGCTGAGATCAGATCTATTTTTCAATGATGTGTTAAAATGTGAAGGGTGATCTAGAAAAGTAAGCAAGGATAAAAAAAAAAATCTGGTAAGAATATGTGAGAACAGAGTCAGAAAGACTAAATCCAGAAGGCAGCTAACATTTAGGTGTTGAGGAAGACTGGATCAAAGCAAGAAAGTGTAGGATCCCTGCATGGCTGTGATGGCATTATGTCCCTGATAGAGAAGACAAGAGGGAACTTTCTATTTCTCTTTTTCTACTAGGAAGGGTAAGACAGTCTGGTGAGAAGAAATTGAAGGGAAAGTTCACTTAGGAGCAAATGTTAACTATCTAAATAAGTTCAAACATGGGCTTGGAAATACAAACCAGAGCGTTAGTAGAATTTTCAGATGCATTTGCTTTAATCTTTGAAAAAGACGGAGAATGAGAGAAATTCTTAGACATTGCCCCACAGTTTGACTTTTTGAAAGTAGAAAAAGTCTTTGAACTATAGACTTGATGGCTCATTGATTTTTCAGTTCAAAAATTCTAGGATTTACTTTAAAATAGTTTGAATGCAAGCTTGCTAAATTAAATCATGCCTCTGACATAGTTTATGAAGAGAGTTGAGACAAGAAATCATACAATTTTAAACAACTTAATTCAAATTCAGTAATTCATAACCTTTGCAAATCAGATAAAAAGCTACCCTTTTGAAGTGCAGTAGTTTGAATTGCAGTATAACAAACCACCCCAAAATTTAGTGGCTTAAAATAACTATAGGTTGAGCATTCCTAATCCAAAAGCCCAATCTCCAAAATTCTCTAACATTTGAATTTTTTTGAGCACTGACATGATGCCACCAGTTAAAAATTCTACATTTGACTTCATGTGATAGGTCACAGTTCAAGGCAGACACACTAAAAATGTTGTGTAAAAGTAACTTCAGGTGGTGTGTACAATACATATATGAAATATAAATGAATTTTACATTTAGACTTGGATCCTATTCCTCGAATATCTATGCATATGCAAGTATTCCAAAATTTAAACATATCTGAAATCAGAAACACTTCTGATTCCAAACACTTTAACTAAGAATAACTCAACGTGTACCACTAATTTCTTCACAGTTCTGCAATTTGTGCTGGGTGATTCTCCTCCTGGCTTTTTTGGGATCACTCAGGCAACTTCAGGCCCTGATGGCTTAGCTGAGACTGAATAACCCAGATAGCCTCAGTTACATGTGTGATGCTTGCTGCTGATTGTAAGATGGGCCATCGAGGGAGCTGGGGTTTATTTACTTGGTGATAGCAGAATTCCCAGAGAATGAGAGCAAGAATTGCAGGGCTTCTTGAGGACTTGAATCATCTAACAACATTTATGCCTCATTCTTTTGGTCAGAGAGTATCACAAGGGTAGCCCAGCTTAATGAGCAAGGAAATAGACAAAACCTTCAGATAGGAATTGCTCTAAAGATTCTTGACCACATTTAATTCGTCACATCTCCTCTCAGAAAAATGCTTGTGCACTAATACACAAAGTATTTTAATTTCAGGGGACTCAGGACCTTTCACCTCAAGTCAAAAGCCTTTAGTGCATATATTGAAGTGAGAGTACTAAAGCTCAAAGAGATTCAAAACTTGCATAAAGGCAACAGATATTTATTTAGAATATAAACATATAAGCATAACGTATTGCCCACTTTTTTTTTGTACTGGTATTAAGCCTTTTCGCTGAGCTACATCCCCAGCTTCTTTTTAATTTTTGAATTTTGTGATAGGTCTCAAGTTGCCCAGGCTGGGCTCAACCTTGTAATCCTCCTGCCTCAGTCTCCCAAAGTGCTGGGATTATAAGCATATGTCACCACAACCTAGCATACCCAAAACTCCCGGTGTCATGTCATTTCCATTACGCTCAAATGAAATTCATTTTATTATTGCAGGAAATGAATTTCAACAATTTTATAAATCATCACTCAACCACCAGTTCAGGGTAATTTATGTCAAATGTATGCAATGAAATACAAAGATTTTATTTTATTATCATATTCTACACATATATCTATATGCAAAATTAGTCTGATTAAAATTAGATGTGAGGAATAAATTATTTTATTAATTTGCAGATTGGCACAGTTGTGTGCCGATCCCTAAGTCTATCTCCTCTTTAATGACAAATATTTTCTATGCTTCTCTTAACTCCCATGGAAAAGTTGACTGCAACAAATAATTTATGTTTAGCAGGACTGTTCTCACTTTTAAAGCCACCTATTTTTAAAAAATCTTACATTAATAAGAACAACAAGAAATCAGTTTATACTGATTTTGAGTTACATAAAAACAAGGTATCATTACCTCTTTAAGGTTTGATTTTTTTTGGTTTGTTTTGTTTGGTACCAGGGATCAAACTCAGGATCCTGCTCTTTCAAGGTAAGTGGCAGCACCACTGAGCTAAATCCCTGGCTCCTCTTTAAGTTTTTGTTTTTTGCTTATAAGATATAGATAGCTAAAGGAAAAATGATATGATTTAGTTTAAATTATTTCTTTTTTTGCCAGTGGATGGCTTTTTATGAGAACTGCAGGTTTCAATTATTTTAAAAAAATTATTAGTATGTTATTTTATTTTTAAATTTTTTGTATGGATTTGATAAGTTGATCTGGTATAAATGGATAGAGAAGGAGTAATTAGTTTTGAAATATCTGATTTTTTCAGACATAATAAAGGTAAGCCTTTTTAAAATACATTTTAAAAATATGTTTTGTGCTGTGCTGTTGGGGATTTGAATTTGTGGTCTCACACATGCCAGGAAAACACTGAAAAGTAAAGTTTTAAGAAAATTGTCACAAAAATATTCAAACATTCAGAGGTTAAACATACACACACAGCAATAAAAAAAATAAAGTAAAAGAAACACCTATAACCCAACAACTTTAATCAATAATTGTTAACATTTTACTATCTTTACTTCATTTTCCTGTATTTTTTCTTATTAGACCATTTGAAAATCTATCATCCTCTCTGCACTTCTCATAAATCTCCAAAGAACAAGGACACTATGTTACATAACCAAATTCCAATGTAGCCCACTTAGTAAATTAATAGAAATTCTCTAATATTATGTAATCCAGTCCATATTAAAATTATTATCTTGTTTTCATAGATTGTCTTTTTCCAAATGAGAAACCAATCAAGGAACCTATGAGGATTGAACCCAGGGCCTTCACAGTGAGCTTCACTGTTATGTCTTCAGTCTCTTTCCACCTATAATAACACAACTCCCCACCTCATGGAAACCCCCTTTTCCCATGTTACTGATTTTTTAAAGAAACCAGGCTTGCAGGCTGTCTTATGGAATCCTCATATCCCTATTCTGGACTTTTATTTTTTGTGACAGAGTCTCACTGTATAGCCAGGTTGGCCTTGAACTTGCTACATTGCCTATGCTGGGCTTAAACTTGAGATCCTACTCTCTCAGCCTGGCATGTGCCACCAGGCCCAGCTTTGGATGTTTAAAAATTCTTTCTTCGTGGTGTTTTAACTTGTTCCTCCGTCTTTAATATAGTCTGTACATCAGAAGTCTTGGTTGGATTCAGATTACTCGTTTTGAAGAATACTCTCTACTTAAGGCTGCCTACTTCGTACTTCATAATACATGAGCTCAGCTGGTTGTTAGACTAGTAATGCTATTATAATTTTGTTCTAGCATGCCCCCCAGTGGCTCATGTGGAAGGCTTGATTGCCAGCTGGTGCCACTGTTGGAAAGTGGTGGAAAATTTAGGAAGTGGGCCTTAGCTGAAGGATGTAGGTCATTGGGTGTGTGGCCTGGAAAGTATATTGGAACAATGGATCCTTCCTCTGTCCTTCTGGCTGGAATGAGGTGAGAAGCTTTGCTCCACCACACATTTCTGCCATGATGTTCTGCCTACCACAGGCCCAGAGCTATAAGACCAAGTGGCCATGGACTGAAACCATGAACCAAAATAAACCTTTTCTCTTTGAAATGGAATTATCTCAGGTATTTGGTCACAGCAAGAGATATGACTACCACAGCTGCCAAATTAGATCAAGTTAAGGTCATGCAACCACAGCTATTTTCACTATCAAGATGTTTTTTCCCCTTGTCAATTTGCTATCATCAGTTGGGTGATAATTTGGTGCTATGCAAACATCCAGTTGCCTACAGTGAGTTTTGTTTTTAAACATAACTGAGCCAGGAATGGTGGTGCATCACTATAATCCTAGCACTCTGAGAGGCCGAGGCAGGAGGATCACAAGTTTGGGGCAACTTAGTGATTCAGTAAGACTATGTCTCAAAAATTTAAAAAATACAAAGGGCTATGGCTGGGCCGGGGATTTAGCTCAGTGGTTTTGCTGCCTGCTGCGCAAGCGCAAGGACCTGAATTCGATCCCCGACACCAAAAAAAAAGGGCTATGGCTATAGCTCACTGTGAAGGCCCTAGGTTCAGTCCTCAGTACCACCAAAATAATAATAATAATAATAATAATAATAATAATGAGTAATAAACAACTAAAAAACATAAATGGTTGTGTGATTGATTGATTGGTGCTGGGCCTTGGACCCAGCACCTCATGCATGCTAAGCATGCAATCTCCCACTGAGCTACCCCTAGTCCTAAGATTTTGATAAAAAATTATATTCAATTTTTCAAAATTTCTTCAGCTGGGGTATATTCAATCTAAAATTATGAAAACAAGCCAATATCTACATTGAACCTTTAGATAATTATTCATTCCTGCTTTTATCTTTGTTATTTTGAGTACCACTCTGGTTTTACGATAGTCATGCATCTAATTGAAATTGCAATGTGCTCTTCTGAAGCAACGTTTTTGTTTCTTTTTCTAGCCAGGTCAAAAGACATGAGTGAGAACATACAAGTCACCAAA